TTTGTTGTTTTCCTAAACTGCTTTAATTATGTGACCTGCAATAAAGTTCAACAACGAATCGCACATGAACCATGCGTTAAAGAATCGTTCTTCTACACTTCAAAGGTGGCTAATAATCATCATATCGGTCTGGTATCTCGACAATTACCGAGATATATTTTTGAAAAGCTTTTTTATAGTTCATTTTGAAGCTCAGAAATTCTCTTAAAGAGGCTAGAAGCAATTTTTTATAGTCAGAAGTGTTGTGAGGTAAAAAGGGAAGGATTTCCGATCATTTTGGTTCAAAATCATATTGGATCACTTCTTACAGAAACTGTTTCCCGTCGTTTTTCATTCCTTATGTATATTTAGTTTTTTACTTCTTTTTATGAAGAATTTTGCTAACTTTCCAATTGTTTGCTCATTATCATTTTCTCATATATCGTTCTACTTTGTTTAGTATTTTTGGAACAATAAGATTTATGAAACTAACAACAATATGTTTATCAATTGAATATCTAAATTTGACTGGAAATACATCATATGATGTAATGTTTAATTTCTTTGCTTTATATACTTCGCTGAATACCAAACGGAAATTTTTCTTATATGACAAACGTTTTCTTATTCAAATAACATGCAGATATGCATCTTATGAATCTGACAATAAAAGAATTATTTCACTGTAACGTGAAGAACAGCATAGAGAAACTTTTCTTTGATCTATCGCTCGTAAGCATGCATCGAGTCAGAGTCCTACTCGAGATACTCGGACTCGGCTACTCGATTGTTCCAATCTATTATCGAAACCAAAATATAAGACCGGTGGCCATTCTTTGAATAACTGTTGAACGAAAGTAGATGAAGACTCACGGTATTCGCTATTCGATAGCCAAGACTTTAGAGCATGTTTTTTTAAACAAAAAATATTTAAAAATATTTTCAAAAACCGGTTTTTAAGGAGATCTCTGGAAAACCGTTTCCTAACTGGAAAATTCGACACAGCAATATATTGATTTTTTTCCATGAATAGTTAGTCTGAAGTGTCCTCAACAAAACAGAACCTAAGCAAGAGCTTCATCTACCATGATTACGTAGCAGACAAGATTTTCCTGGGAGTCCTAGGACTGCTCTTCATTTCAGTCACTGAGTCTCAGCAATGCATGGAAACATAAGTTTCGACTATGCTGAATCTCTTGGCAATATTTGTTCTTAAAAACATATTTCAAATATAGCGAAAACCAAGTTTTTCAAAAATTAGGGTTTTCTGCCTGTTTTCACCTGTTATTAAAAAATTCATAATTCACTCAAAAAACATCACAATAACTTCAAAACTTAAGGATACAGAGTATTTCGGCTGTTTTATATTCTGTTTATAAGAAATCAACAAGAAAAAAGTTCTAAAACCTTACTAAATGCTGTAGATACTTTTTGTCTATAGGAAGAGGAAATAACAATATTTCTTCGTTGAATGCGGATATCGGTTTCTCTTCTTCAAGTTCTGAATCTCCGTCATGATCTGGGTCTTCACTATCATCTGCATCTCTATCATGGCCGTTATCTTCCTTGCCACCAGCTAAACTTTCCTCGTTACACTGGGCGTCAGTGAATGATAACTGATTGCGAACAACAAGTGGTTTATAATATTTAAGAAATTTGCCTTGTTGTGGTGTGTCATCGTCATGTAATGGTAATACATAATGATATTTTATTTTACATCTATCATGTTTCCTAATATTGATCTGCTCAGTATCAGATTCAACCTTTTCTGTTTGAACTTCGACAGGCGTTAATCTTAAAAGAGTTTTAACAAGATCTGCTATAAAATTAGTATCCAATGTTGCATCTGTTTTTTTTAATTCCGTTTTAAGAGGCTGACTCATATCATCAATTTTGAAACCTATATGTTTGTCTTTCACGAACGAGTTATTTACGAGTGGGTTATTATATTTATGCAAAGTGTACAAAATATTTCATTTTACTTGTTCTCTTTTCGGATTCTACACATCGCAAAGTATAAGAATCAACCACGAAAAGCTCAATCTGTTATTCTGCGCTCGTAAAATATAACTCTCCGAAGATTCGTATTTTCTAGAAAATCCACAGAGTTCAAAGTCATCCCCATATTTTCAAAATCACAGCGTTGGATAGACTTTTTGTTTCTTTTATAAAATAAGATATTTCTGAAACTTTTGACATTTTCTGATGGAAAATGGCATTCAAATTCCCAAAACAGGTCAAAAGCGGTTAAAAGATGCTACTTTATTGCAGTTTTCCTTTGCTTTCTTGTGTCGACCATAACTAAATCATGTGGCTTCGGAAAAATGTGATTAACATATTATTTTGTAGAGAAACGATGTGATTTTGAATATATGGAGATGATTTTTAAACTGTGTAGATTTTCTGTAAAAGTCGAATCTTCGGAGAATTATATCTCAGGAAGGCGAAATAACAAATTGAGCTCTTAGTTATCTCTTGTACTTTGCGATGTATAGAATCCGAAAATAATAATGGAAGGTAATAGAAATCAGAAGAAGATGATGAAAAATGTAGAGAAGGTCTGCTTGTGTATACCTTTTACCTAAACAAGTTTCTGTCACATCCTAATGGATAATTATCTTTTTTTTCCATCTTAACAGAGGTCATATCTAGACGTTTTCCTCTTGTTATGTATGCTATTTTACTGTCCAATTATTTTCTCTCTTCAAATAAAATAATTTTCTTTCTTTTACTTTGTCATCCTCTACATTTCCACTATACCATTGCTCACATTGTTCATGTTTTACTGATATTGACTATCTAATGTATACCGCTTCTTCTCTCTCATTCTTTTCTATTATATATATATATATATATATACTATTTTCTGTTGTTTAGACGCTTTACGATTATGTTTCTTGAAAATGAAAGTTGTACTTTTGAAACCTAGAAACTTAACGGTTTTTAATTCAATAAAACGAGAATGAATTTTCAAAACAGCTGCACTTTCATATTTATATTGAAACTGATTGTTTGATCTACTACATCTATTAATTTAGCAAATAAAATATCTATTTGTCGATTTTTACTTGTTGATTGAAAACTATTCATTGAAATTAATTGTCTTTGACACAATTTCATTACATTCATCAGTCAATAGTGATTGTCCACAATAAACATGAATAATTGGTTCATTGTTGCTGAAGATTGAAAGGTTGAGCAGAAAGCTTTTTCCGTTCGTTTTCTTTACTTTGGTTGGATAGAGCTCTTCGAGTTATCCATAAAAAAATTTATTATTAGATTTTTAAAAGTAGATTTTGATGGAAAAGTAATTTTTTGAAAAAAAACGAAAAAGTGGAAAATTTTGAAAAATATGTAAACTTTTTTCATTTATTCTTTTTCTAAAATTTTCAGACTATTTTTGTTTGACCTGACCTCTATCCAACCATACTAAAAAAAACTGAAAAAAGTTCTGCTCAAGTGTTGAATTTCCGGCACGTTAACTATGTTCAAATTTCACTTGTGGATAAAGATCATGTATCAAAAACCGTTAACTCAATAAAGGATCAATATTTTGTGTTCGTAATGCTTTATTTAAATTGTTAATAATTTACGTACTTCTTCTGCCTAGAATAGAAACACTGAAGACTTTTCGTAAAGTTAAACATTATATAATGGGTTATGCATAAGTTTTGCAACAAATGTCAAGCGATATTTCTCCATCTTTCCAGTATTCTGGAGACTTCACTGTCTTGCTGTTTTGTAAAAGCAAAGAATGAATCACAAAACAGGCTTTCCTCTCACAAAACCTCATTGAGAAAAAAAATCAAAAGCTAAACACCACTAGAGATGTTCGGAAAGCTTGTTAAAGTGTATGCTAATTTCTACTAATCTTTGAATGAAATATGGTTTGGAATTGCACAATAGATTATTGTCTTCAA